ATTGTTTACTTGTTTGTTTGTTCACCCCTTGGCTGTATTAGATGGTGAAGTTGAGCCCCTCTGACCTCTAGCATGTAATAAGTATTGCATTTTTGCAGTGGGTTACCGTGCTGACCACCTCTCTTATTATATCATAGCTTTTTGATGGAAATCAGTTTTGCTGATCACCTCTGTTATATATAAAAGCATTGGCATTGGAAATCATTTTTCAGCGGATTTTCCCTCAACTGCTGAGCTAATGCAGAAGTGTTTGGCCGTTAATCCATTCGAGCTAAAATTTCGTGAAGCAAATCGACGTATCAGTCAATGCAGTGAAGAACTCCTCGAACAGGTACCATTTTTTATTGGGGTATAAAAGAGTAGGCAAATTGCGTATTTGTAATGGCAGGGGATTTGCTGCATCTTCCCGATTTGTTCCTCCTCCTCTTCCTGCTTCTCCTTCTCCCTCTGTTACTGTTTTGCTATTGTTGTTCCAGTACTGAGTGTGGGATTGCCAAAAATGCACCTGTGAGAAATTAAATATTTACTTTGGTTTTGAGCAGGCATTGCTTTCGCTGGTGCTGCTCCTCAAGAGCTTCGACCGTTTTCCCCTGCTGCACCACTTCCTTCCATTTTCTTCTTCCTGTTCTCCACTTTATTTTTCTTTTTTTGCCTGTTTCTAATAATTGCTTCCTCCTTCGTCCTTCGCCTCTTCTACGAGTAGCGCGTAAGAAGGCTGAGATTTTTTAATTTTCATTTCGTACTTTCTTTTTCCTTTTTTCTCTTCTTTTTCATTCCTTCTTATTATAACTTTGTGTTAAGGAGAACCACATCTCGGGTCGGACAGAAGTTAAGAAAATTAGCGGAAAATCTATGTTCTTGAGCTGTAGCAACTAGAAACCCATTTCTGTGAGACATTCGAAGGTTGCGGCTAGCATAATTCACAGAAAACTGATATTGGTTACCAATGGGAATTTTTTGGGTTTAATTTTTTTCCATCAAAAAAGGGATGCATGAGGATAATTTGGATGGAAGATTCCTTTTTTTTTAACAAAAAACATAATTCTTTCATTTCCAGAATGGTCTTGTTCCGGTTTCACTTTCATTGCCGACAACCGGAGGTATAACGTTGCTGAAATTACCTTCATCGTTGGCGCATTCTCCGGGCATTTTCTCAAATATCAATGTTCTTTCAGCGGATTTTGAAAATGATACACTCAAAAGTGCTGACCTGTCACGTCTCGTACAACAGGTATTATTATGAACTTTTTTGAGCTTGTAATTTGGATCGCATAAGTCTGCAGACAGAACTGGGGCAACAGGATATGAGTACCACTGAAAAATTTTTTTGAAAAAATGGCCGCGGCCTACTTTGCAACAGCATAATGCGAAATTAATGCAATAATTTACAATACTTTGGGCTACTAATAACGTTTGCAAAGTTAGTTTCAGATGAAAGATAATGGAGGCTTTTCGACACAGAGCTCACGAATTAGCGAAGATACAGGACGAGCGCCTCGTACCGCTGATGTACTGAATGCTGTGCTTGACATGCATTCGGATAGGCTTGGACCACTTGGCTTCCTTGGCGCTACTGGTACTGCCACATCACCTTTGGTATGAATTAACTGAACTTCTTTTGCTCCTTTTTACGTTTGCTTATCAACCTAATATTGTAAAACCTAGTCGAAAGCGTGCCGGCTGCCGGTACGAGGATGCGTTTTTTGCACAGTTCCCCCCGCAGGTTTTTTTCGCCAGCGGCA